GAATAGAAAATAGAATAGAATAGAATAGAATAGAATAGAATAGAATAATAGAACAGAACAAAATAGAGTTAGAATAGAATAGAATAGAATGGAATGGAATCACAGAATAGAATAGAATAGAATAGAATGGAATCACAGAATAGAATAGAATAGAATAGAATAGAATAGAATCACAGAATAGAATAGAGTAGAATAGAATTTACCCACCAATTTACAGTGCTTCCCAGCCCTCTAACTACATTAAATTTTTATTTAGCATTTTAGTGTCTGGATCCAGCTTGGAAAGGAGTTTAAAGCAGGCTTCAAACTCACTGATATGGAAACTGCTTGATAGCAATAGCAATGGCACTTAGACTTATATACCGCTTTACCAGCCCTCTCTAAGCGGTTTACAGAGTCAGCCTGCTGCCCCCAACAATCTGGGTCCTCATTTTACCCACATCGGAAGGATGGAAGGCTGAGTCAACCTTGAACCTGGTGAGATTCAAACTGCCAAATTGCAGAATAGAATAGGAATAGAAAGAAGGGACCTTGGAGGTCTTCCAGTCCAACCCCGTGTTCAAGCAGACAAAGGTCCAGTCTCTTTTTAAAAACCTCTAGTGATGGAGCACACACTAGAAGGATGGAAGGTTGAGTCAGCCTTGAGCCTGGTGAGATTCGAACTGCCAAATTGCCAGGCAGCCGGCAGTCAGCAGAAGTAGCCTGCAGTACTGCACCTCTAATCCCTGTGCCACCATGGCTCATATATTATATAATGGGGCTGTTTGCCCCAGCCTCTTCCAAAAAGTTTTCGCTTGCGTTTTGGTTCCTTGGTGTCTGGCTGGTGACCAATTCGACTTATTTCTTTAATATCAGATTCACGTTCTCGAGATGCCATCTAAGACATCAATCTGTACCTTGAAGCCGGAGACGGATGCTAAACTGGGCATGCCCATGTCTCTGAGGATGTGGCAGGTAAGCCAATGGGAGCTAATTAGGAAACACTTTGCCTGCAACACAGTCCGAGAGGCGGAGACTCATGAATCATCTTTTTTCCTGACAAGAATTCTTTCTTTCAGAATGGAAATACTAAAGTGGACAAGAGATGATGGATAGAACTAGAATTCCCTATCGAAAACAATCGGCAGCAGCTAGTCCTCGACTTAACAGCCGCAATTTGGGCCCAACATTTCTGTGGCTAAGCGAGACATCTGTGAAAGCCAGTTTTGCACCATTTTATGCCCTCCCTGGCCACCCGTTGTTAAGTGAATCGCTGCGTTGGATGCGTTAAATTGGGTCGCCAACCTTTTAGACCTCAGGGACCACCAAACTCATAATTTTAAATCCCAGGGATCACTAACCGGTTTTGAGGGCGTGGCCTAATTTGTGGCCCAACTGCCATGTATTAACAATGTGGTCGGGCTTACTTTTTGGGGAGGAAAATAAGGGGGGGAAATTCTGCCTCTGCCAACCAGCATCCATCAGTATTCATGTGGCTAGCGTCCTGGCACTGTGATAGAGAGTTGAGGGCTGTTTGGAAACTGAAGCAGTATTTGCTGTGTGAGCAAGAAGGAGACAGCAAGGAGCCTGGGCGTGGCTTAGCTCAACTGTTCTGCACTAAAGCTGCTTGATGCTGTAAAACTGAAATTGAAGCTCCTCTCCTCTGCTTGTGTTTTGCATTTGAAAGAGATTTCTTTTCAGGTGGGGAGGGGGAGTAGAACTCCTTAGCATCAGAGTGTTAATAATAATAATATGGGAAATACTAATGCTTTTATGGTCATTTGGAAAAATCCTTTCTTAGTGAGCCACCTAGAAGCCAAGAGGAACATACATGCCAAATTTCAAGTTTGTAGGCTTTACGGCTCTGGAGATTTTGTGATGATGTGTGAGTGGTATTTCGCTCTTATGTATGTATGTATGTATGTATGTATGTATGTATGTATATGTATATGTATATGTATATGTATATGTGTATGTGTATGTGTATGTGTATATATATATATATATATATTAATAAAAATTTAATTTATAAAAGGAAGGGTTGACTAGGAGGATGGAGTTGAAGGGTGAAAAACGGTCCCAAGTCAAACTTTTTTCAGTGCCTTGGACACTTAAACGAACTGTTGTAAGTTGAGGACTAACCAGGATTGGCCTTCGTTCCATGTTTGCTGTCTTTGCTCTCTCAGCCCAACACTGGCTCGCATCCTCTCCTTTTGGCCGGCTATGAGGACGGATCGGTGGTTCTATGGAATCTGTCCCTGGGACAAATGCTGAGTCGGCTCACCTGTCATCAGGAGCCGGTCATGAGCCTTGACTTCGATGCGGAGAGGACCAAGGGAGTATCCGGTTCCTCGGAGAAGCAGCTTTGCGTCTGGAGCCACAAGGGGCAGGAGAAACTGGAGGTCGGTCTCTCTCTTCGCCCTCCCTAAACCACGTCTTCATTTTTGCACTAACAGCCTGGTAGACTTTGCAAAAAATATTTAGGCACTGGAGGGCCTGTTCAGATGGGAACCATCCTCCATAGTCCATCAGGGGTGTGTGTGTGTGTGTGTGTGTGTGTGTGTGTGTGTGTGTGTGTGTGTAAACCTTTCCATCTTGGTGATTCAGATGTCTGAGGTTAGATTTCGGCCTGGGTCAGAAGTGAGTGAGGAAATTTTATTGGGAATATGTAAAAAAAAAAAAAAAACGAGTGGAGAAGATTGATTGGAGGGAATTTAACACTTAGTTTAAGCTTGTGGCTCTCTCTCTCTCTCTCACTCTCTCTTTCATTCTTTCTCTCTCTCTCTCTCTCTCTCTTTCTTTCTCTCTCTCTCTCTCTTTCATTCTTTCTCTCTCTCTCTCTCTCTCTC